GGAGGCTGAGGCAGGAGAATCGCTTGAGCCCAGGAGTTTGAGGTTACTGTGAACTAGGCTGATGCCACAGCACTCTAGCCCAGGGAACAGAGCAAGACTCTGTCTCAAAAAAAAAGAAAACTCTGTTCTTTTCAGCTGATCTGGGTGCAATGGTTTTAGCACCCATCAACTGGAAAATTTGCTCAACTTGAACTTTTCAGTCAAAATTGTGTAAGCTGAACTAAATTGAGATGTCTATGGTGTTGGCTATTGTTTCTGCCGTTAATGATCAGTCACCCTGGCTAGAGTGCAGTGGCATGATCACAGCTCACTGCTACCTCAAACTCTTGGCCTCAAGGGATCCTCCCAGAGTGCTGGGATTACAGGTGTGAGCCTGTAGTCACTTGGCCTCTTTGTTTATTTCTTTATTTTTTCATCCTTCCATAGGATACCAACTGCAGCAGGGCAGAGATTTTTTTTTTGTCTTTTTTTTTTGTCTTCCAGTGCTATATCCTCAGGGCCTAGAATAATGGGCATATGGCAGGTGTGCAGTAAGTGTTTTTTGAATGAATGAATGAATGAATAAATGAGTGGACATGTTTTCCCATTACCTAACACCCCAAGCAGACTTTGAGTTCCTTGAAAGCAGGGCCTGTGTGTGTCATTGTGTATCCTCAGCACTCAATAACTAATAAAAATAAGTATTCAGTAAATGCTCGCAAAATAAAGGAAAGGTTATGTATGTGACAGAAAGTGGACCAGGGGTTGCCTGGGGCAGGGCTGGGAACGGGCAGTGATTGCAAATGGGCAGAAAAGATCTTTTTAGAGTGATAGCAATGTTCTAAAATTGGATCGTGATGGTTACACAACTGTAAAATCATTCAGAATGGCTGTTACTTAAAACAGGTGAATTTTATACTAGGTAAATTATACCTCAATAAAGCTGTTGAAACAAAGTATGTGTTGAGGGAGTAAGTAAATGTTCTGAAGAGGTCAATGTAGGTCGTCTGAGCCTCACTGGCTCTTGGTGATACTGGGGACACAGGGGTGAGTGACCAAGATAGCCCTGTTCTCATATGGCTTCCTGTGCAGGAGGGAGGCCGACTCTTCATAGACAGTGACAGCCTGGAGGAGTCAGGGGTGGGATAGGGGGACGCGGGCAGGGTGGTCAGTGCGGGATGGGGAGCACGGCCTAGGGATCTGGGGGGGCACGGGCAGGGGAGTCAGGGAGGGATGGGGGGCACGGGCGGTCGGGGGTGGGATGGGATGAGCATAAGGGACTGTAGGAGCCCAAAGGAGGCGCCTGATCCAAACTGGGGGAATCAGGGAAGACTTCCCAGAGGAAGGAACAGCTGAGCCAGGGCC